ATTTAACAAAAGTATGTTCACAATCGTTGTTACATCGGATTATTTTAAATTAAAACTTATTTACGCATGCGCTTGAAAAGTCATTCATACAGTGTAGCTACGCTACCGGCTAATTTCTTGACATGAATGTGTGAAATGCAATAATGTATTGCAATGCTTTTGTTGTTTTTAGAAAAATAGTCTATCACTTCCTACTACATTTTAGTTACACGTAAATGATAAATCATTTTACTTGTTAAAAAGATTCACTGTTGTAGAAAGTCTATAGGCTTATGTTATATAGGTAGTTCACATGGTATCGAACTATATAATCAAATCTAATTGATTTAGATACAACAGAAATTGGCATTGATTGCTTAAAAGCGTATATTTATTTATTTTTAACCGACTTCAAAATAATATTATCTCGCGATTGGCTAAATCTATTTTAATGCGGTTTTCAGAAATGTCTTTGTTACACTTAGAAGACGGTTAATTATTTATTTATTATTAATGTACGAATATATTAATAAACTGACCTCAAAATAAGAGGGGTTGAAGTAAATTTTTAAACGTATGTTTATAAAGAATTATTTAACTCTGAATTTATTTATCTCAAAGAATTTTGCAGATGCGAAAAGTCTTAAACTAATTGTTAAGTACAAACAAATGACTTGATATAATAGTAGGTATTAACTGAATGTGAACCATATTTAGATTTAGAGATGGGAGCGTGACGTCTTTGATCGTCATTTGTTTTTAATTTTGCAGTATTCTAAAGGCGGCAATAATTTGGACTTAAAAAAAGAACACGATATATTTCCCTCCTTGTTGTTTTGGGTCTGAAGTCATTGACACGTCATTTGTTTTTTGGCACTGTTCTAAAGGCGGCAAAAATTCGAATTTAGAAAAAGAACTCGATATATTTACTTCCTTGTCATTTTTAGTCTGACGTCATCGATATGTCATTTGTTTTTATTTTGCACTAGCTAGTGCAGCTAGCTAGCTGTTACAGTGAATAGTTCCTTAATGATGTTTCGTTTCATGTTACATTACTAACAGAACATGTCAAGACCAAAAATGTACGTCAGTCCAGAAGTATTCGAGTTTTTAGACTTATGAACGAAGGAATTGATTTATAAAAACATCTATTTAGTTTTTTAAACTACGAATTTATTAAAAACTGATTTATCTGACGTTATTATCTCAAAAACATTAATATGACCTGAGGATTGAACTTAGGACATTATGCTCACCACTAAAAGTCAGGCATAAGACAAAAAGCCAGTCACCCAAAGTATTTGCTCTGCAAAAATGGCTGTGAAATATTTTTTCTGAACAATAAACTTCGGATCATAAGCAAGGAGATAGAAACCTGGCGATCGCACTTTTTATACTTTGGACGTGGTCGACGGCGTTTGTCATCTATTGAACATACTGTACATAAAATATAAACAGCTTTACATTCGCCATCGTCTCCTAGTGACCCTATAAGAATTTCCAGCTGTCCACGAGAAATAACATTTTTACGATTCTGTAAAGTAAACCGTCCGGGTTATGTCTTATAAATTTTACCACGCCGCGACGCTCTACCTTCCTTGAAATGGTTGTCCGAGAATATTCCCTTATAATCAAAATATAAGATCAATATAAAGCCAACAAAGGATCTTAGAGAATCTTGGTGTATTCATCAACTTTTGATGACAGTTATTTATAATTCTGATTATATAAATGGTATGTTGTTCGTACAAAGCTAATTGATATTTACTATTATGCGTATAGAATACGGTCTCACAGAATGAGCACAATTTTTTTAATAAAACAAAAGTACTAATACAGTACGACTTATGTCATCTCTTTTAGCAATTATGATCTAAAACATATGGGAAATTACTATAATTCTTATGTTAGAACGGGATCTGATAAAAGATACATATTGATACAATTTTCCAGTCCCTCTACCTTGGTCATATATCCGTTTACGTATCCACGGCTTCGTGACATTAATATAATATTTTCATTCATTTAAGATAAAAAGCTAACGTCGCAAGATAAGGAAAATGAAACAAAGGGAACATATAGAATATTATGGACGAAGTATATTGCAAGTAGTGACGTGTCTCCTGTGCTGGTACTGCTGTTACACAATCTCGTTGGATCGGGAATGTAATGAATGTGCGAGGTCGTTGACAGTTGAAAGTCGTCGAAATTTCGCCGATATGACGGATAGAAGCAGGCTGTAAATTTTATTTCCGTGAATAATAAAAATGAAGCGAGTCTAACAATCCGTACAAAGTGGTGCAATCATATTAATTACATTAGCCGCCAGTACTGATGCTGATGCTGCCGATGGCGTTTAATTGAAAAATGACAAAAGTGTAGCTCCATTCACAATACACGCTCGTATTTTTAATGTTGAGAACAAAATTGTTTTGTAAAACGAAAACAAATAAGTGTGATTGGAAAAACAAATTGGCGTGAATAATTTTTACACTTGCAATTTTTTTTTTTTAAGCTGGGAAAATCATCGTATGACTGCTCCCGCCTGGGTGGGGCGAGAGGGAGTGTCAGACTCTTACTGACTAAAAACCACCCCGTACCTTCTCCTGCACGTCGAGCCGGAGCCCCGGTTACCCGTTAGGTTCTCCGCGACCGCAATTATTGTATAGAATTACTATGACAACGACATTTTTTGAGTATATGGTTGTTGAAATCATTCGTGGGCCCTTTTTTTACCCGTGCTGGGAAAATCAGGATGGATCTGATTTATCTTCTTTGCAATTTAGATGTCCTGCTATTGGTTTCATATTGATTTCAGTATTCTACATATTTTTACTATGTACGTACGTGATTGGAAACAAAATGCCTGTTCCTGAAAGAACGTTTACGTGATTTCCTTCAGATAACTTCAAAACTCTTATAAAAAGGTACAGGCGTACTGTATCATTTCATTCCAAAATTAATAAGGGAAAATCGGCAACTCGTATTTGTCCCGAAACAAAACGAGTCCTACACACTAGTCGTATTACCGGTCATAAGGTGGGGTGGTTCTTATCTAATTTAGCTTGGCAGGCCAGATAATCCAAGAAGCAATAGCTGGCATAAAGACGAGAGGAATGGAATACCGGCCCGGCGGAAGGTATGCAGGTACCTATTGTAATTTCTCTCCCGGCTCGCCCGACCCTCGCGTAGGAATGTTGGTTGTTTATACAACGTACGTAACCTGCTATTGATAAAAACCTGATGAATTATGGAAAGAAGTATGCTTTTATTTATTGCTTATTAAATTAATCCTGTTTCTTGTGTTCAGTTCTTATTTTTGTGTGAAAAGTGACTGTAAAAATCAGTTATTACAGTCTATGTACTAACTAACCCTAACCTATACTTCACACTGTCTTCAAATGGTTTTTGTTAGATATAAAATACGATTAGTAAAAAAACATGTACCTATAATGTGCATTCTTATCCATGTGAATCTATAATTAAATTCAGTTTGAAACAGAAATGTAAAATTATTTGTACAAACGAATAAGTATATAATTTTAATAGATGTCTCTTTTGATTATATTATTTTAATACTCTGGTGCTAATTAAAAAATATTTTTTATGAAAATCACAAAATAAAAATAATTATATTTCTTAGACGAACTGTAAAATTCTATCAAAAGACTTTTCTGTATTCCAATCTTGCTAGAAATAAATCATGTTTGTGTCTGCACTCTCTACAACCATTCCAATTCTCGAGAAGCAGGAATGCCTTCCTTAACTTGTAATTTTTACTATTGGAAAGCCTTTATTTTTGTATTGAAACATTTTTATCTTTATTTTATCTCTACTTTATTGAATTGCCTTCAAATACTTTCTTTGGAAAGCCATTTCACAATATTTCTGCTTTCTTGAGCATTATATTTCAGTATAAGTACACATTTTTGTTTAAAACCTCGATAATTATATTTTACAAATATCTTGCTCTCAACAAATAAATATCTGTGCTAATAACTAACTCATTACCAAACAATGAAACGAAAATACCCTGCGAAATCAAAGATTAAAATATCTTCAGCCGTACAGCTATTTATATAAAATCTTTCTCCTAAAATACGATATATAATAACAGGCTACAACGTGAAATTACGGATACTATTAAGTTTGTAAAGCGGCAAAATCAAAACATAAACAACGAAATTCGACTTGATGCAAATGACAACAAACATTTAAATCGATTGTCGATAGCCATTTGGTTCGGTGACGCTCTAATCCCATTCCACGTGAAACGTTAAAATAAAGTTCCATATCATTCGAGGTTATGAGATACCAGATGGGGTGACGACCGTCCCTGAAACCCATCCAAAAGGTGCCAATACGACAGGTATGCCAAATCTATATCTTAAACGTTTATGTTATCATCCGCTATGAACGTCTACGAAACTGCTACGAATTGGCTACGAATGTGTTCGTAATTTACACTTGCGATATTCGCATTCCAACTTTGTGCTACGAATTTCATAAATGATTTTAAAGTGTAAGTAAAATACGGTTCGTTTTGTGTAAATGTTTAATTTAAATGATTTTCATTAATGAACCGATGATTTAATTAATATTATTTGAATGTGTCACCTACAAACCCGGAATACATTGAGTATATCCAGTCCCTTGTTTATTTAGATCCAAGAGAATATGTTTTCGAATGGTAACTATTTGAAAATATTATATTTAAAATAAAATGAAATTGTATAATATTCTTGACCTTATCAATAAAGAAATGACAAGGAAGGCGTGCCGCATTTACGCCTTTCTTAAATGAGAACAGCCCAAAATGCTAAAATGTATATGGAAGCGTTCTTGTTATTTGCCCAACAAATTAGAATGAATGAAGCCAATAAATCAAAACAGAAATGATAAAACTACTAATCATTAGTAACTCAGGCGATGTTTGTTTCTATTATCATCGGCACAATTTCTCGACCATGCAACTAACTCGTGATAACATAACTAAATCGAGAATACATTTTATTAGTTACCTTTCCGGATACAATCCTTTCTTTGTTCACTTCATAATTAAATTTGAGCACTAATCGAGTGTCCGCTTCTATACGAAACTTAACGTTTTAGGCCGTTTTCGTAAGTTGGAAGTAGTTTTTAAAAAGTTCCATGAATGAATACGTCCGCCAATAATTAACGTTACATCTCACTGGCCAGAAAATGTGAGATCACACATCACATTCAACCGCGAACCGCTTATACCGGTCGAACGTTACACTCACTACAAAGGAGAGCGTGCGTGTAAGACCGGCTCACAGGAGCCATGTTCCAGGGCTCCGGCCGCCTGCCGCTAGCCGACTGACGTTAGTATACACGACACATCTGCATTTAAGAAGCCGCTATCGTTATGCGACTAATCGATTGGTCGAAGCGAGTGCCACTGTCACCCGTCCCTTTCCCGCACTTCTCTCACTCCGATCTCGCGCATGCGCCCTCAACTATCATTCTCTTTTAAAAGTAGCGAAAAGTAAATAAACTCATACGAACTGTTTACTAAGAGAACTGAAGACGCGGTTGAAATCAAACATTTGAATTTAGATCATGGACCACTGCTAGTGAAGGTTATAATGTGCAAGAATATAAGTTTTTCTTAGTTTGGATAAATTTATTGGGTAATACTTTATTATAAGGAAAAGCTATTTCGCCTTAGGTGGTGGCTAGGGACGAAACGTCACTTGTTGCACGGCGACTTTGTTCCGGCGATGAAAGCCACGCACGCTATTGCACGCCATACCTTTCGCTCTTGTTGTTCTACTGTAATTAATTGGAACGTATTATGCTTTACGAATACACTAATCAAGTTATTGTTTTGATTCATTTTCGTGGCAAAAAGTGAAAGTTTCTCTTGCTCCTAAAACAAGACGCTTCTGAGGACAATTTCAATGAATGGTAGTTCAGTTAGTCACGCCAAAATATAATAACTACCATAATGTATTGTATTACTTTAAAGGAGACTGTTTTAAACAAGATGGTTCGGTGTTTTATTTAATACACATCTAATTAGATTTCTCTTTCATTGATGATGTACTGTTTATATTAATTTTAGTAGGTAGGTTATAATTTCCTCATCGTGAAAATGTAGACTTTAATAGACCGAGTGGTCGCAAGTGCGACTGCTGGGCAAGGGGTCTCGGGTTCGATTACCGGGCCGGAAAAAGTATTACTGGGTTTTTAAGAAATTCTCAGTAGTAGAACGGAGTCCGGAATTGTGCCCGGTATATATAACAATTGGCTCACCCCCTATTACATAGGACTCATAACATAAATAGTGAAAAGTGGGTGTTACATTGTACAGTGGCATTAAGTACCATAACGTACACCTCTGCCTCTGTACTCTCTTTTGGGATAAAAGGCGTGATGTTATGTTATGTAATATAAATTCCATAACACAGCAATAATCTAATCATCGAACATTACTTATAAGTGTTAAGTTTTCACCGATTTAACTTTTTATTACTCAGTTAGCTATTGAAATATGAAGCGCATGTTAATGGATATACACACTAATTAAAACGTGAATCAATATTTGATACCATCCGATCCAGGCGAATCTTAAACAAAGAACTTTAAAGATAAATAAGTACTGTTAAAAAATTTGTAGATATCTACCAAAGAAAAAAAATATACCGCAAACCACTGATTGAAGCCTTTACAATGTCCATATTAATGATCTGTTTCAGTACAAAGGTAAATAATTCGTTTTGAAATGTTCAACCATTTTAAAAACTCAGATAATTAGCTTCTAACAAGAAGTTGAATGTTATAATAAAAAATTTCCTCAATTACCTTGCCTTGGCAGGTTCATAAAGCTTTTACATCAAATACATATTCTTAAGGTACCTAAATCAATATCGAGCGACACAAATAGTTACTTTTATTATTATATTCTTTGTGATGTGAATTGTGGAAGCTTATTGTTGCTATTTGCAATTCGAACGCTTGTTATTTCATTACAATACAATGGTTGTACGGCCAATCGCGCAAATATAGTGACTAGACCTATCATCACGACGATTGATTTGGTCACTGTGAACCTGCAACCGAGTAGTATTGTAACCATTTGGTGAACTAACATTATGTATATTTTGATATCTATATACTATAGTGTTATTTATAACTCAAGAAATCGATTTGGTTGAAAATTAGGAGCTTAGAACCAAAAGATGGACATATGATTTTTTCAAGGATTTGCCGTATCGGGCGTATGAAGTCGCGGGCAGAAACTAGTATATATATTACGATGCGACGGTAAGCTTACTGATTGTTGTATTATGAATTTTAAATAAGTTTTAAACTGATTTGTTGAAAGTACTAGCTATCAGAAACAGCAGATCAATTGATGAATAAAGTTATATATGTCGTAGGATAATTTGATACTTCGAATCTTCGCGGAAATCCTAGGGGTTTTGCGAAAACGCGGATAATTAGACATAGGCGAAAAATTATCAAATCTTACTGGACAAAGTCAGGATTTTTGCGAAAATACTCGTTACTATAGTAAGATTTGATGTGCTCAACACTGATTGGCTACAATTTTGCTGGCTGACTTCTAATTGGTTCCTAGTTTGCCGATGATTAACTTCAAGTATTGTATCATAGAGATATGAAGGTTTAGAATAGGTGAGAAAGAAAAATCACTAAATTGATTTTTATAAACCTTTTATTGAAAATTTTAGTATGTATGTTGTTTTCTACAGACAATAGAAGATCTCAGTCGTAGTAAAAAAAATGATCCAATTTTAGGGTGTAATCCATAAATTGGATGAAACTGGTCGTTTAAGACGACGAAAAATCATTTAAAAGACGTCAACCAATCAGAGACGATCTCTTATTGAACGCGCTGACCGACCAATCAGCGTTCTTATTTCATAACAGCCAGCGTTTCGTTTCGCAATCTTACTATAGTAATGAGTATTTTCGCAAAAATCCTGACTTTGTCCAGTAGAATTTGATAATTTTTCGCCTATGTCTAATTATCCGCGTTTTCGCAAAACCCCTAGGATTTCCGCGAAGATTCGAAGTATCAAATTATCCTACGACATATACACATTAAGTAACGTTGATATATGCATAGTATCTATCATAATAATATATTGGCGCTCTACTACTCTCCCTTTGAAAAATTAAAACGGTTACTAAATCTAATAATTATATTATTTAAATAAATATTTACCTACACGTATTTACCACGTAATAGGTAGGTATATATTTTTGCTTCAATACGTTCATAAACTTTTTAATAAAACATGATTCCGCGTTGTGCGTGAACATTATGACTTTAGAGTTCAACTCTCGCAACACACATAAATAATCGTAACAGAAGTTCGGCACAGTATCGGTACCACGTGTTAAAACAGCGTTAAATTGTAATTGAATTAGTTGGCTGCTTAGGCGATCGTTAGTGGTTCGTTCTTATAAATTAGCCGTGTTCACAAGTGTCAGGTATCGGTGCTCGCCGCGCGTCCGGTCAGTGGGTCCCCTCAGTGGTCGATGTACTGTGTGTGCCTATGTATATGCATAGGCGGCGAACTCTTAACATTTAGCCGGGAGCCGTATGAAACGACGCGGAAATTCCCACTTACTCTCTGATTGCCACACTAGGGGGGTTAATGTCATTGTTGATTTGGAATGCCGAATGCGCTTACTGGGATAACGGCTTTAACGTTTTTGCGCTTGGCGATCAATTGAAGCTGAACTTTTGATGATATTAAGCGGTTTTATGAACCGAAACTGCTATTCTAGTCTAATGGTAGTTTACTTCGTGTGATTTACGACTTCGACTCTGATTCTCGCCTGAGATATTTTGTTGAAAACTTTTTTCATCCATAAGAACAAAATGTCCAAAAATGTCACTTGCGTGGGTTTGTTACTCCCTCATTACCGACTGAACAACACATTGGAAAGAGAAAATATTCCACTTAACGAGTGGATAAGTTTGTCGAAACTAATATTCATGCAAACACAACACAATATGCTGCTAAAACTAATTAAAGGAAACAATTTAGTAATCAACACGCGTAATTACAATCCATCCCGAATTCCTAATATAGCGCAGCAAACTTTATGATTACAATCATGTAAACATTAAACAATGAAGGCAGAGAGCCGAGGCAAGTTACCGCAAACGATTGTTTACAGTACGTCGTAAACTAAACACTACTTAAGCTGACAGTTCGTTGTCATCCAGATGCTTAAACTTGATTAATAGACGATTTGGGAGCGGTCTGATTAATACACGCGCGACGATCCATTCAAAAGCCGTAACAACTTAATCATGATCAAACAAAGCGGTACATAGCTGCATGATGGATCTTATGCCAGGCATTGTACCTATGTACTGTCAATACATAAACGAATCAAGTATTCACAATATTCTAAAGACATCAAGACCGTCCAATATTAACTAAGTGATTAATGTTATTTAATTTTACTCATGCTCGTTCTCTTTATAACAATGTTTAGTCAGAGTACAGAATGGACGAAAATAGTAAGATAAATATGTACTCGAACATACATTCAATTTACCTTATTGACATTCGTTTTGTTCTAAAAATACTATATTAAAATATCGACTAGACATATAGCCGACAATCCAATGAATGTGATGGACGAAAACTTATGTTACAGTAAAAATACTACAAATTATACTAAGTTACTGTTTAGAAGTAAATTTCTAATACAAAAATACGTCGATACTTCTATCTTAAAGTAGAATGCGAATGGACTGATATTTACCTAGACTAAAACCTTTTATCGATGACAGTGATGTAAATTACTTAGGTAACGATAGCTTTATCTTGTTTTTTTACCTTTAGCACGATATACTCAACGAAATTCTACGTGTACTGTGTACCTAGATGTAGTGAGTAGATAAGAATAATAATAATTAACATAACATAACATAACATCACGCCTTTTTATCCCCGAAGGGGTAGGCAGAGGTGCACACTTCGGCACTTAATGCCACTGTACAATGTAACACCCACTTTTCACTATTCATGTTATGAGTCCCATATAATAGGGAGTGAGCCTATTGCCATATTAATGAATAAATAATAATAATTATTTATTAAGTATTTTCATACAATGGGTTACATAATCGAAATTTTCCCACGGTTCCCTTTTTTTGTCTTCTTAAATATAAGCCTATGTTCATCATCAATAATTATTATAGGATTCACACGGTAAAATATTTTTTCGAATTGATCCGGTAGTTTCGGAGCCTATTCAATTCATACAAACAAAAAACCTAATCTTTTCTTTTTATACTATTAGTGTAGATGTATTTCGGTCAATATCGGCGTGACAAGTTTCAACTATCAACAACTATCTTTGAGTAATAACTCAGAATGTTTTGATGAATACACAAACTCAA